ATATGGATGTGTTTGATTATAGGATTATTCATGGAATGTGCACCACTTTAACTTTCTAATACCTGAAAAATTCTGAATTCAAAAATACATCCAGCCCAAGGATTTTGGATGAGAAATTTGAGGACCTGTCATGTATGTAAAACATAAGTTATACAAGGTAATGTATATAACATGCCTCCTTAGTACAGTGACTGGCACGTAGTAAGGGCTCAGAAATGACAATGATTATTAAACAGAGGGAATGGGCTGCCTTAGATCTTATAAAACATCTAGGGGTGAAGGAAACTGAGACATCTTGTAGGAAATACATATTTTCCATCTCTGGCCCCCTAAACCTTTGCAGTCACATTTCTCAAAAATCATGCCTTTAAATCATAGGATTTGCTGTCATCCTCCTATTCACAGTAGGAGGAGGAAAGCTCAGAGTATTGATGACAGATGCAAGCAAAGGCTGGTTATGGGTGATTCTGGCAGAGGAAACAGCACAGGCAGAGGCCTGGTAGAGTGGAAGAGGTGTTCAGACAAAAAGAATAAATATCCAAAGTCTGGAACTCAGAAAGTTTGGCATGAAGTGGTGACAAATGAAGCCAGGAGGGTTTGGGGGGAAGATTATAAAGACTCTTGAATACCGTAAGTTTATATTTGGTCCTATAGATCAGTGGTTTTCAAACCTTTTTAGCAAAAGAACTTTACTAAGACAAAATTTGATTTGCATGGGAACTCTGTCCGCTATAGCTACACGCCAACCATTTTGACTATGTCCTATGTGCTCTTTTAAAAGAGCAAATCTAGGGGGGAAATGGGCATTTATTGAAACCTTAAAATCTGTACCCCCATAATATGCCAAAATAAAAAAAAATTAAAAAATTAAAAAATAAATAAAAAATAAAAATAAAAGAGCAAATCTGATCATCTCAGTCCTCAGGGTACACTCTTCAAACAGATCTCATTAAACTTGGAGTGAAATACCACCGCCTAGCCGTCTCTAGGAAATGTGGCCCTGCCTACCTCCCCAGCTCATCTCACACACGTTCAGGATCCCTTATCCAAAATGCTTGGGAAGCAGAAGTGTTTGGATTGGGGATTTTTTTTTTTCAGATTTTGGAATATTTGCATATACATAATGAGATATCTTAAGGATGGGACCCAAAGCTAAACATGAAATTCAAATTTATATTTCATATACACCTTATACACATAGCCTGAAGGTAATTTTCTACAATATTTTTCATAATTTTGTGCATGAAACAACTTTGTGTACATTGAACCACCAAAAAGCAAAGATGTCACTGTTTCAGCCACCCACGTGGACAATCTGTTGTTTGGCATCACCATCATTTCTGACTCTGAATTTCTATGCTACTGAGAAGCGTCTTAACTAAGATCTGTTACATGAAGTCAGGTGTGCAATTTCCCACTGTGTCATGTTGGCACTCAAAAAGTTTCAGAGTTTGGAGCGTTTCAGATTTTACATTTTTGGATTAGGAATGCTCAATCTGTTTTATCTCTCTGATTCATCACTCATAGGTCCTCCAGTGAACCCCTATCCCTCTCTACCTCGAGGATTTTATAAGGCATGGCTTCTACCTTTCTTCCCTCCCACTTGCTGTTAGCTCCTAGTCAGCTCTTTCCAAACTCAACTCAGCCCCCCCTTCTGGAGGGACCCTTTCCCAGGCTGGTCAGGATGCCCTAGCCTATGCTCTCCCGCGCTCTGCGGACTTCTCCTCTGTGGCACCTAATCACAGCTGTACTAAGGGATTAGCTGTGGGTCTGGGTGTTTGGGGCTCTCCCCTGCTATGCTGTAAACTTTGAGAATGGAAAGTGTGGCGCCATCTGTTTTGTTCATGACAACGTTCCCAGCACTTCCCTCAGTGTCAGCCACTAAGCAGGCCCCCAATGACTATTTGTTGAAAAAACACCAGTAAATACAAGAGGAAGACAAATTGGGGAGGAGGCTGCTTTGGTTGAAATAAGGATGGAGCCTTGTTTTAAGCAGCAATGTGGGGCCTGTGATACTTCCTACCAAGCCCTAATAGAGGTCCCTGAGGCCCAGAGTGGGGGACTCTCTGAAAAGCACCGGAGGGGATGAGATGCTCTGACTAACAAAAGGCTTTGTTATTTGTCTTTGGGGTGGGGATGATTGTTATTCTCTTGGCCTCAGGAAACTTTTCTGCTTAGTGGTCAACAGAATAAATGATCAAAGTAGCTTTGTATAGACAGGAAGCATATTTCATTCATTTATTTCAACATCTCCTCTCTTGGGTAGGGAAAGACTGTAAAAGCCATCTGTAGGCTGGTCTGAATTGTATTGTCTTGTGAAAGACTGGATGTCAAGTAGACGTTTCTTTGGAAAAAGTCATCCTGGCCTAGACCCAAACCATCAGGAAAATTGCCTCTGTACTCAACGGATCTATCACACATGGGCCGGGTCCTGGGTTGAGATCATGTGACACAGGGCAGATTGTGTGACTGTAACACTGTTCAGTGTGGTCAGCTGTAATAGAGTGATGGGATCCCTTTATCTGTTCAGTAAGGCGAATTGAAGTGAAAATTACCTTTTGACTGAGTAGCATTGCTGAAGAAAATCAATAGGAGTGGCCCAGGATCCCCTGGCATTGTCTCATTTGAAGTGCTGTAGACTTTCAAGTTGCTGGAACACTAGTTTCAGGATTCAACTTTAAGTCCAGCCGAAAGTAAACAACAGAGTGGGTTACAGGAGAAGTAGCGTGTCTCCACAATCATAAATTACAGAGAAAATATGTGCTAGCCAGAAAGTAAGTCATTTTTCAACCTCAAAATTATTCTTTCCAAATTCTAAGATCCTGTGTCTGACAAGTTTAAGAGAGAGATGTAACAGCTGAAGTTGTCTTTGTTCAAAATGTAGGAGACAGTTTTGTCTAGACTTTCAGGAAAGATATAGAATGACATTTTCAGAACAAATCAAAAAATATTTTTAAATTCCTTTCTCTCCTCCAGGAAGAAGATTTGACATGCTTCTATGCTTTGAATTTGGTTGATCTATAAATGGCCTCAATAGTTTAATATGAAAAGTAGAGTAAAATGAGCCATTGAGAAAAGTTATTAAAATACTGTTAGTTTACTTTCTTACCTTAACAATAATATTACTAGCACCACCAAGTCAGTAACTAATACC